AGGTCACTAGTGGGACTGAAGTCAATGTATATCACGTGATACACAGGGGATATAGTGCTGAGACACAGGATGCAAAATGTCGGGTGTTGCCTGCAGTGTTGTCGACACTGACCTGAGTAATGGACGATCAGGAAAGGTTAGAGTTCTCTGGATAGAACCTTATTGCCTTTGTGTGCGCTCATTAACCTTCTAACATCTCTGTGCCCCCTGTAGCAAACAACTCAGGCGTGAACAAGCGTCAGATCACTGACCTAGTGGACCAAAGTATCCAAATCAACACACACTGTTTTGTTGTTACTGCTGACAACCGCTACATCCTTGTCTGCGGCTTCTGGGACAAGAGCTTCCGTGTTTACTCCACTGAAACTGGTAGGTTTTGTATTATTTATAGGACATGTTGAGTATTAAGTACAGTGGATTTTTTTTACTCCTAATTAAAGCAGCAATTTGTTATTCTATCAGAGGTCCTGCTTTTCATGTGGGTCATGTAGACTCATGCATTTTCATCTTTATTTCGCTCTTTTTTACATGTGCACCTGGGCATACAGTTTAGTGCTGTATTTATAAGTCCAGAGATTTAAATCGGTGACACTCTTGTTACAAACCTGCTTGTTAAAGCTGCATATTTTTCTCCTGGAAGTTAAGCAATGATAGCAGGAGTAGAGGACAGACACTAATTTAGCTGTCTTCCTCCTTTTTTCCCACAGGAAAGCTGACCCAGATAGTATTTGGCCACTGGGATGTCGTAACGTGTCTGGCCAGGTCAGAGTCCTACATTGGAGGAGATTGCTACATCGTATCAGGCTCCAGAGATGCCACTCTTCTTCTGTGGTACTGGAGTGGACGACACCACATTATAGGGGACAACCCTAACAACAGTGAGTGGGTGACATGGTGGAAATCACACATGTGAATGTTGGCCCTTGTCTGTGTGCCCATGAGTGCGTCTTTACATGATTGGGAAGTTTCTAACCAGAGGTTTATGGAGATGTGTCTCTAACTTGGTTTTCTCTTCCAGGTGACTACCCTGCTCCCAGGGCAGTACTGACAGGACATGACCATGAGGTGGTGTGTGTGTCTGTCTGTGCAGAGCTGGGATTGGTCATCAGTGGAGCTAAAGGTTGGTGTGTCTTAATACTTCTGTCTGTGCCTAAGATAGATTTAGAGTTTACATTTAGATTTATTAGATAATCTAATAAATCTAAATGCACAGTGAATATTGAATCAGTAAAAGACCAAATGATAGAATATTAAAACGTTACAGCCCTCAGATGCAGTTTATCACAGCAGTGCCAGTACAATAGCCTTGCAAAGCCAGTGGATGAATTTAATTTCTCTTATTGTGGTCTGCCAAGGCTAGACAGGCATTTCCTGAGGAAATTTCAGGCAGACTGTACATTAGATTAAAAAAGGCGCTCTCCTTTGCTGGCACACATCAACATAGACGTTTTCTACATATGACTGGATGAACGTGCTCACTGGGCTGTCACTGCTTCAAAATTTCAAACAGCAAAAGGAGATTGTCAACAAAGTTTGTTTTCTTGAATTAGTTTTAGAGGTTTGGCAGATTTCTCCCCCCAGACATATAAGTTGATAACTGACCTCACAAATAATAAAAAACTTTCTACACAATCATGCTTTGGTCTTGTTCCTCAGAGGGCCCGTGCCTGGTCCATACCATCACAGGGGACCTGCTGAGGGCCCTGGAGGGGCCAGAGCTGTGCCAGCGGCCCCGCCTCATTTCAGTGTCCAGTGAGGGCCACTGTATCATCTACTATGAGCGAGGCCGCTTCTGCAACTTCAGCATAAATGGAAAGCTGCTGGCACAAATGGAGGTCAACGATTCCACACGGGTAAGGCTTCCAAAGTTAACACTGTTTATGTAAACATACTGAAATATTCTTTTTGGTGTATATCTGTGCTTTAAGACTGTACTTATATACTCATGAACGTATGCAGGACTCGTTTGTCCAACACACTGGAGCCTGTGAGCTTTTTTTAACCTCTTTGTCTAATTTTCTCTCTCCAGGCAATCCTGTTGAGCAGCGACGGACAGAACTTGGTGACAGGAGGCGATAACGGGGTTGTGGAGGTGTGGCAGGCATGCGACTTCAAACAGCTTTACATCTACCCGGGCTGTGACGCAGGCATCCGTGCCATGGACCTCTCACATGACCAGAGGTAAAACAGACGGGAGGGGGGGGCACTCTGACAGACTGAAGATGAAGACAGTGTGCTGTGTTTTGTTAAGTACTACTGTTGTTGGGGGAAAATGGGTCACCTCTGAGGAGGCAGCGGAGAATACTGAATGATCTGAAATGGGTCAGTTGTTTTTCACAAACCTCAGAGTATGACCCAGTTCCAGGGAAATGTACAATGAGTAACATGAGATGTATTTGATGTCCTGCAACCCTAAAAAAGGTATTATATGGAGTACGTGTGTAGTTTGGTTTATAGATTTGACTTTCTATGCACTCTGCCTTCAGGACTCTGATCACTGGCATGGCGTCCGGCAGCATTGTGGCATTCAACATAGACTTCAACCGCTGGCACTACGAACACCAGAACAGGTATTGAGGTGGACAGCGTGAGGAAGAGGAGGATAGAGAGCGGAGAGAAGGTGATGCATTCTGCTGTGTATCTGCAAGGCGGGGAAACTACAAGTACCGAGACAAAGGAAAAACAAGTACCGGACCTTAGCCTCTATTCCCTTGGGAAGATTACTTGATTTGAGGATGTGGCAGCGCTGGTGGAAAGAACTTCCTCTGTGCATACGTGTACGTACACACACGCGTGTGTAACCACAGACACATAATACCCCGAAGATACACACCAAAACCTGCTAATAAAATAGACTGCAGAATGGGGGAAAAGAGCAAGTCAAGCAGACCTTGTAGAGGTCGAACATACCCGTACCACTCACAGGACTGGTTGCAGTTGCCCGTCCTGGTGCGCTTAATGCTTCACAGACAAAGAACTTAAGTTTTGTTTTCCCTTATACTTTTCTTCTTTATCAAATTTATTCTATACCTTTCATTTCCATTTGGGCGGAGTTCATAAATTAAGACTCCTTCAATGTGTCTAAACTGATTAGAAATGGTCAGAAATGAATCAGCCCCACCCTCTATTCCAAAACCGGTGCTATTGGCTTGATCTTAAATTCACCCTTGAAAAATTGCCTGGGGTTATGATTTGATTTGATTTGATCTTATTTGATGTTATCTGCTTTTATTTTATTTTTTAATGTTCATTTTCATTTCTTTTTCCTTTACCTGCAGCAGGGTTAAATCAGATTTTTATGTAAATATAAGGCTCTGCCTCCGTCAGGGTCTACACATGTTCTTTCACTACACAAACTGCGCTTATCACCTTTAATTTATTAATGACTTGCTGTATGTAAAATATTGTGTAATAATTATTATAATGTTGACAAGACTGATGGATATAACGGCAGTGTCAAGGATGGTGATAATTTTGCCGGAGATGGTAATGATAAAGAGATCTTGCCAGTGCCACCAAGGATGAAAACCACAAGACTGACATGATTTCCTTTGTATATTTGGTGATTGTTTTGTCAAATATGTACATATAGTCTTGGTTCAGGCTTGGTGAGAGACTTAATCAGCTGAATAAGACCGAAAGCGCAGAGGAAACGTTCACTTACCCACATTTGTTGATTATTTAAAAAAAGAGAATCAAATCAATGTAAAAGTTTGTTTTGTATTTGCACTTTGCACCAATCACATATCATTATTTATTAGCTTGGTTCTTTCTGGTCGGCTGCCATTTTGTTTAGGTCCTTTTTCCCTACGGGATTATTTGTGCATTGATGTTTGTATTTAAAACGTTGAGCTCATGTGTGATTATTAGGTTTTACAACCTCACCGTTGTAAGCAATATCATGATTCTGTAGCTGATAGAGGTGGGAAAGAGGGAGGAGATGAGGGGATGACGTGTGAGATGTACTGTATGTGTGAAGCCATCTTGATCAAACGCGCACATGCACATACTCTATCGACAGGTTCAACTTACGTATCCAAAAAAAAGGTTAAATATTTTTGGATCTATGAAACCCTAAAAACTATTGTATTCATGTTTTATTGCAAAGATGTAAAATATGACATGTGTGAGTTGAAAAAAAAATCATGATAAGAAAAATAAAATATGCAAAGAATTTGATGATTTGACTTTTCATTGGTCACATATTCTGTTAAAACAGGGTAACTTTGCGGAGTCTTTTGTATATTTCAGTCACCTGTGTTTTTATTCATGATTGATAAAAATGAAATCAACATTTGCTGGCTGGGTGATGGTGGGAGTTTTTTCAGCTTCTGGGGGGGTGACAGAAAAACTTTGAGAACCGCTGCACTTAACGTTTATTTTTTTTTTCTTCATGATAGTAATAGCTGCACAGAGAGTGGGATTTGTCGCATTCATGAAACACCAGTCTTAAAGGAATCTTCCTTCCTTCTTTTCAAGAGACTCTTGAGTTAAAATGTTGCAATCTAAACACACTTGACTATGTTGTTGAAATACCTGCTTTGCTGGGATTTTCATTTCAGATGCCTGTTACTCTCAGACAAATTCTGCAGCACTTCGAACACAGACACTTCTTAAGACATAGAGAAAGAGAAATGCTAGCTGTACAAAATTTCCAGTTTCCATTTCTCACTAGCTTCATACTTTTTCCATATGCATGGTCTGGCCCTGTGTGGTCTCCTGCATAAACCAAAGCCATGAAACATTTGAAGTTCTCTTTGAGTAACTCGATGCTTCTGCTGTGAAGCTTCTTAAAGGAAAACTGTACCAATGTGCTTGAGTAGAGCCTTTTCCAGGTGTGAATTTTGTTAACTGCATGTGTCCCAAGTTGTTGTAGACATGTGGCATTCATTTAACCCATGGACAAAAGTCAGATTGGCGGTGACAAGGTATACAGTACAGTATGTCATGCAAGGTAGGTTTAGGTATCTATGTAAGTATAAAGACACAGGTCACTCAAGTTGGAAATGAAAGGAGTTTTAATCTACTTTGTATCTTCACTTTATAATGTGATATCGGGGGTTCAATCTGCACAGTGTTTTTCTAGAATCACCACACCTCAACATTGGTTTTACTTCTTGATTACCTTTTTTTTTTTGCTATATTAAACCAAAAGCATCTAGAGATAATAACCCCTTGCATATTCATCAGCAGCTGTAAAAAAATACAAAATTAAGCAATCTTTATTGGTAACAATGGTAAACATTTTGTTATCTAAATTTAACATTTACAATCATTTTCTTTAATTTTGTGCTTTCATTTATCCTCCAAGGTGTTTGGCAAAATTTACGTGACAAACTCAACCATTCTATATATCTAATATATAATCCAAAATGTAAACAAAAGTGTGGCCCTTGCTCTGCCTAATAGATACTGTAAGTAAACATGGACCAGAGAGTGTTTTTTTTAAAAATTTGTTTGTGACTGTGTGTGCCAATCCGTACAGAAGGTGATAAAAGCTTTCCAACAGACTATACATGGGGGAACCAAAGAGTCTGGCTAATGCACTACCATCACCCGAAATGCACAGAGGATTTGTGAAGAACACTGACAGATCTGACTCCTTTTATTGTTCGCAGCCTCGTAGCCGTCATCCCTGCTGTCTGAGCCTTCCGTGTTCTTTAGTTGTTATTGGATTTGAGGGGAAGAAGGGTGACAAAGATAAATGAATCTTTTTCATTTGTTCTGAATTGAGTATTTTTTTTAACTACATTTCACGGTATTAAAATTAATATTAAAAAAGTGTATTTTGAACAGAAACCGCCATTACTGTAGCTTTAGCCTGGAATGCAGACAAGGCTGACAGCTGTGCAGAGCTCTCGTGCTTCAGTCACTATGGAGACTGCAATCGGACACCATATGAGCCGACAGGCAAGAGGAGAATAAATTGTTACGCTAGTAGACATGTCTTTCAGGACCAGAATTTCATCTTGTTGGTTATGCCACTTTTGACCTGCTTTGTCTGTAGCTGCAGTCAGAGGCTGACTGCCTGTCAATACTCTTAGACACAATGCTCCTTTCTTTCTTACCTGCACATCCACAGCAGGGTGTTGTGCAACATTCCTTCCCCAGACTCTGGGGAATCATGAAGTATTTTTTATGTGTACAGTTTTTTAGGGTATCTTACCGTTTGTTGTAAATGAAGTTACAGCATCCCAAAGTCTTCTCAACAACACCAGATATTATGAGACACGCTGTACAAAGCATCGCTTGTTATTTGTTCTACATTAAATATGATGGTACCAGAAATGAATTTTACAAAAAAACGAAGAGGAAAGATAGGCTAATAAAAGTTCTTCATTATGCTTGTTCCTGCAGAGAGGAAGCAGTCCATCAGGTTCATTGGTGTTGATTGCAGAAATAAAGCTCAGAAGGGTTCAGTCACTGTCACCCTCAAAACCTCTTCATCACATTGTGAGCTATATTTCCCCTGTGCCTGCGCAAATAGCATGGACACACCAGACTCACTGGCTCATCGGGATTAGAATATACATGCATGTGGTGTAATGCCATGTCGTCTTTGTGTTTGTATGTCACAGTGAGGAGGTGCTGAACTTCTATGTGCTTTGTGTGTGTGTGTGCATGCTTGCCTGTTGCATGCATGGGGACATAAATGTCTATGTGTCTGTACGTGCTCTCTCCCATCTCCCTCAGGTGGACAGTGAGCTGATGGTGGACCTCTGAGAGGAGATGCTGCAGATCTCCATGTTGGTGAAGGAGCTCCCTCCCTCGCTGCTGCAGTCGGGCACAGAGGACGAGGAGGAGATGATGTTCTTCAGCCTGTGGAGGGAGATGATGAGCAGCGTCAGCAGGAACACCAGCAGGCCGAGGAAGAGCCACACGTAAACATAAACGTTGCCCTGACGTCCTGGTGACGAGGCGGCCGCCGAGGTGGAAGCGGAGGTTGGGGAGAAACGCAGGAAGGTCTCGTTGTCTACTGGAGAGATTCCAGTCTCATTATGGTCCACCAATTGGACCTCCATCCCTGACATATCCTGGCTGACTTTCTGCGTCGATTTGCATGTGAAAAAAAGAAAAATGAAAGAGATTTATTGTGAAGCAACAGAGAGACACTGACACATTCAGAATTTAAATGACCTGAATTTAAATGAATGTCTTCTGAAGCTGCCAGGGATTTAATTTAAATAACGTGGGAAAAGATATTTACAGCAAAGAAACAGGCAAACTGGTAAAATCAACATGTCATATGAAATCTGTACAAAATACCTATTATCTTATATATACTATCATTGTATGTTCACTATAAACAGAATAGAGGGTTACAGAATTGATACTTGATCACAAAGAATTTGTGCAATAAGTAAATGTATAATGCATACGGCTGCATTTCTTGCTAAACCCCAAAAATATAAAAAGTCCTACGGATGCTGGTCTGCTGTTATTAAGGGCTGCTCACATGATAAGTCAGGGAGCTTGACAGACTGAAGCTCTTCTGAACAGACTGCAATGAAGAGCAACAGCAGGGGGAGTGCTTGTCTCTTTGAATGCCTGTCAGGCATGTTGCCTGGAGCTGCTGTATGCTCAGATGAAGGCATCCTTATCTGATAAAATTAAACTCCCCATAATCAGCTTTCACAAAGACAGCTGAGAGCCAACCCTCCTCCACTGCATATTAAAACTGCTAATAACCTTCCACTGCAAATTACGGGCATGGCACAAAACTGACTAGAAGATGTGACTGAGCATTGTTGTGTAGATATGTTCACGGTCTTTGTGTTGTGGCGAGAGACAGAGGGAAAAGGAGAGCGCAAAGGCTGTTTTGTATTTGGGTTAGGCCAGCCTTCTGTGTTGACTTGATCAATGACAGTGGAGAAAGACTTCAAAGGGTGGGATAATTGACCCTGACCAGAATGAAAGCAAGAGGTCAGCACACTCTTCACCTCACAGTGTGTGCTCATTTCTCTGTCTGTTGCCTTTCCCCTCCTTCCTCTCCATCTCATGGTTATGCATTACACCATGGATCATGTGTGTGCCTGGCCACATTATTGTCAGAGGAGTCGAGTAAAGTAACTATATTCATTGTATCTTCTTCCATGAGCATTTGAGCTGCAATAACCCCATGACCAACAGACCTACACTTATGAAGAACAGGATGAAATAGTGTTTAGAAAATACTTAGAAGCCCCCCATTTCAAAACATAAACAATGTAGTTTAACTATACTGTATTTACTGTATGTTTTTCTGTGCTAGTACAAAAAAAGTTCAGCAGAGGGCGTTATGAGCTCAGCTATGTTCCTCCTCTGACTCTTCAACTGCCATAGTTGAGTGTTGCTGACTATTATCCATGTGTTTTGCACAGGTGAAAGTAGCCTACTAATGGGACTGTTATTGTGATAAAATACAATAAACTCTATAAATGTTTGTTAAGGATGGAAATAATACTTTAGTTTACAGGCTGGGATATGTGTATGTGCTGGAAGCATTAGCGATAAGCAGCATTTCACAGGCTTATGTAGCTACTAGGTGTGAGTTTTTAGCATTAGCGATTAGTGTAAGCAATTTTCAGACTACTAAAAGTGTTAGCTAACGGTCTTTTGGAGACGCTAAATCACAGTAAAATATTTAGTTATGTTTTTTTGGTGTTTTGTAGCTTTTTACTGTGATCTACTTAGTTTTTTGTGTATTTAATTTAAGAATATTGCTAGGAGACAGGCAGTTAGCTAGCAGAGTTAAACCTGGCTAGAGAACTAGGTTTTATGAGTAGCTTCGCTATATAGGTCATACAGTGAATGCAATGAAGGGGCAGTACGTGTCTTCAACCTGTTAAACAGCAGATCCCAGAATTATGTGGAGCCTGGAGAGTTTTGCCCATGCAGGTGTTTATTGTTTTTTATGTTTAATGTGGGGAAAAAATGGCATTCAGTGCTGCTGTTGTAACATACACATAATGTTTATTGTTATTGTTATTGTGTACTGACCGTTTACACAAAATCTGTTGTTTGTACACCGACCTGGCTCTGTAAATGGGAAACAAAGTGGTTTCAAACAGAGCTACACAACACTATTCCAGCCAAGATTTGTGTGTCGGGTAACGTTAAATGACTTGACCATGGAGATTCAGCTTACTTTTTTGTTTCCCAAGATAGGATAATGTTGTGATGTTAGCTAGAGTTGTGAGTATCGCTGTCTGGAGCTGCTTAGCTAATGTTAATTACATTACTTGATGTGTGGTTGTTCGCTCTATTTCATGTTATTTGTCTGGGAATTGATTTCTCCAGAGTCGCATACCGCACCTTTAACGCCAGATGATGGTATGAACAATTTTGCTGACTAAAATCAAAAATAATATTTAGAACAAGTCAATCCTATAATTTACCGTGTTGCACCAGTTTGGACCCCGCATTGTGCCTGTAACAACACATGTCAATGTTAGAAGACCCCAAACTCTTTTTTTCTCCCTTTATTCAACCCCTTTCATTCTCTTTTCCCTTCTCTTTGTTTGTCTCTCTCTGGATGGTACAGTTGACAAAACTCTGCTCCCTTTAATTTACAGCCCACTGTACCTTCAGGGAGATACACAGAATAATGAGGTAGGATGAGTTTCATTCTGATGGCATGCTCTCTTGCCCCAACTCTGTTTTCTTTGTCAAATACTCCCAGTGGTCTTCCCAGCCCCATGAAAAACTTTCTCGCCACTTTTGTTTACTTTTATTGTTTTTTTCTCCCCCTGCAATTTTCCAGATTTGAAGTATTGATATTCACTGCACATGCATTGCCCTTTCGTCCGTCTGCCTTATTCTGTTTTTGTTGTTTTTTTTCTGCCACCTTTTCTTCATCTTATCCACTGTCATTCTCTCGTCACTCCCTCCCACTCTCTCCTGCTCTACGTTGCTGTCGTTAATGATATGTTGTTTTGAAATCTGATGAAGCTTGTTCATTGTGAGCTGGAGTGGCTGATAATTGGGCTTAATGATGCTTTTTGTATCCAGGCAACATGGTACGTTCAGTTCTTTTTCAAGCTAATCTACTTTAAGAGGTCAGGCCATGCAGTCCCACTGAGGCTGAAGAGGTCGGACATACACATGCAGACACACACACACACGCCTACATATAATAAATAGCCTACCGGTTGTTATTTTCCTTAGGCATAGTTACAAAACGTAATACAGACAACACCAATGGCTAATTGGGAAAATGACGCGTCTTTATTGAGTAAAATTACTTCAACATTGAATATGTCCTGTTTTTTTTTTTAAAGACGTGTTGGATCTGAGTTTATTCTTGTCTCCAAATGGCCAGCAATCTTCTTCATTATATGTTTCCTGCTGAGCAACACAGTCACATAAATGTAACCAAAGGCACCAGGAAAAACTGTTTGTGTCTCTTGTTGAAAGTTTCAAGCCTGGCTCACATTTGACCATGCCCAGCATCAGCGGTTCGGGATTGTTCAGGAGTTGTCTTTGTTGCACCTGTAAGCACACCCAATAGAAATGCCACGGCATACTGACCGCACACCGGAAGACACTTCTACATCACTGCAGCAAGGTGAGAAGTTAAATCACGGGGGGTCAGCGAAAAGAAGATTTTCAGTGGGTGTTAGGGCTCGGTTTCTCCTCCAAGATATACTTTTCTGCAATCATGCCTTGCTTGCTGCTCATTCAGCTGGATGCAGTCACCAGTTGATCCTCTGTCTCAATATCTGATTCTCTCCACATCCCAAAGACTCGCCTGACTTTGGTCAGTTCTTTGGTCAGCTGAGCCTGAGCCTCCCTACGTATCTTTTCTGAGACGGAGTTAATAAATTGCTGGCTGATTGGACTTGATTTCACTTTTGTGTGCACTTTGTGCCTCCTTTTTTGTCTCTGTCCTTCAGAGCTGTAATCTCATTTGTTCTTGAGTCTCTGTAACAAGAGCGTGGCTTAACTTCAGCTGTTGCTCAACCCAACTGTTCTGTTGTGGGTCTTGGAGACCTCTAGTCTCTTTAACAGCTCAAAAAAAGCATACTCAACATTATTTCATCAGCTTGATACTTTATGACTTTTCCTAATTTTATGATGATTGCTTATAAACGTGGACCTTCATCAAACATGCTCGCCCAGTTTGTTGGTCCCCTGGTGGCTATAAAGCTCTGCAATGGTTGCTCTTTACAGATTTTAAGGTTGAACAGAGACCATATACAGCTTCCGCTCGCTCTTCTTGCTGTCATTCTCCATTGCACAGTGAAAAACGTCTCACTCAGGTGTGTTATAGGGTGCTCCTACGCTTCCCTCTGAGTAGATACAGCCTTTTGAAAGCATGAATGGCCTCTCTGTTGGACTGCCAGTCCAGGATAGTGGAAGGTGTTGGTAGCTGCTTCTTTGAAAAGCCAATGTCCTGACTGGTCTTCAGGAGACATTCCTTGACTCTGAACATCACCAGAGCCCGAGGTTCTTTCACTTGCATTTACTCGACTTGCATCTCTGTTCCTCCTTAACAACTTTACACAGAAAAAGTCTCGTCCCCTCAGTCTTAGTCAGAGTCATGTGGAGTTCAGGTATTTTGTGACAGTTCTGCCTTTAAGCCTCCTTATTCTCCTGTTTCCTCCTGAGCCTGGAGCTTATCAATGGGTTCTTGCAGAAGTGCTCTTCCTTTTCACTCTCAGCTCTTTTTTTTTCTGATTATGTATTTCATCTTTTTCAACGTCAGCATTGCCCTCTTGGCTATGTCAAGAGCTTTTTAATATATTCTGTGTTGGCTATCTCTACTGCACACTCTTCAAACCTTGAGCCCTGAGCAAATTTCTCTTTTTGACATCATGTTCTTCTCTCTCTGCTCCATCTTTTGGTCTTTTGGTCTTGACTTGAGCATATGTTTTGTCCACCACCAGTCTCTATCTATAGACAGTGAGCCTTGACTCTCAAAGCTCCCTTTTGGCCTGATCAAACTCCTTCCTGAGCTGCACAATCTTTGCAAGTCACTCGTCAAACAATCTCATCCTCGGCTGGTGGAGTACGTTCAGCAAACCGCCTCCTGAGACATCGTGCCGTGAAGCTTCCTCTGCTCCACTTTCTCAATCTGTTCCTCATCCTCCACCCTCCTTCATTTTCTCATCATCTCCTTATTATCTTCCTCACACAGTGCTGTCAAAGTATATTTGGCACAATTTGTCTTATCTAATGTGTCCTGTCCACATAAATATCCTGGGCTCTTGTTGTCCTCTGCATGTTTTGCTCAGCTGTATTGCCTGATAGTATGTATTTATAGAAAGTCTTCTGTACAGTGTGTATTTTTTGTGTGCATAATGGGTCGTTATACTGCCTGACATTTGTTATATTTAAATAATATTTACTGTACATGCCTTTGTATGTTATGCTCTGTGTCCAACGTAACATTTTTCTTTTCTTGGCCACTATAGCCTAGATCAGAGTTTTACTGGCCCCTTTTGTATTTTAACTCACCAGGTAGCCAAAAAAAAAATAATAAAATCAATATTTCCCCACACAATTTAATAATTTCTGATAACATTTCAAGTGGTTTCTGAAATATCTAAACGAAAGGCAAGGTAATCGAGACACAGGAGTAAAGTCCAACTAAGGCAAAGTAATCCAAGAACAAAGGAACAAACTGGAAATCCAGGGGAAAACAGAGCACAAGACAGAACACTCAACATTAGACTGCAATGCAAAAAAGACTGAACACAACTGAGCAATATATACTGAGGCACACACACACAAGCAGGCAGGGCAATTAGTCACAGGTGAGACACATTAGGAATCAAGTCAGACAGGAAACAAAGCTAGACAAGAAGACCAAACACTAATGATTATAAAATAAAACAAGAACTAAAGTTACTGACTATACACAAGGCCATGTGAAACAAGATACAACAGAGAACAAGGAACCAATGATCAACTAACCAAACCTAAACAAGAACACAGAGGCAAAGAGCAAAACAGGAATGGACATTAACAAAATAACAGAAAAACCCCGCATTCAAATCCAAGGTTGTGACAAGAGTAACACAAGATGTGCTCACCAATCAACCTGCCCTGCAAAAACTGGGTCATTGGTTATGTCAGACCCTGAAGGGTGTTTGAAATGTTAAAAAGTGCCAGCTTTAATTACAAAATACAGCAAATATTGTTTGTTTTCAGAGATTCAGTTTAAATTATTTGGTATTTGTTAGAGCTAAAACAGACTGAATCTGTCTATATTTTATTTATCTGTTTATTCTGAATATTCATGTGAGTCTGGTTTTTATTTATAAAATGTAGGCTTTTCTATATTCACAATAGCTTGTCCATTCAAGGCCGAACATAGGCATCCTTGGACTTGCTTCTGTTTCTAATTAAAAACATGAGGTATCTTTCAGTGACATAAAATGGCCCAGGACATTACTGGAATATTTGCATGCAGCATATGCAAATATGTACTAAAACCTTAAACTTACCAGAGAGGCACGTTCTGTTGTCTGTTCAGTTCTGGTATTAGCTCTTCACTTCATGAATAATGGACAAAAATCCATGTGTGGCAAAATGTCATGGCATTTGGGCCATATTCCTTTGTGTGTATGTGTGTGTGTGTGTGTGTGTGTGTGTGCGCGTGCGTGTATACTTTCTCATACTGTATTCATACCACATGCATGAACAGATGAAGACAAGCTGAGCCGGATAGCAGAAATATTCATTCACATGCATGGCTTGTATGGGAAAATACAAAAGATTTTCATGCATACTGTATGTGCACACACACACATAAACATACACTTTCGGCTCAAACAGATTGCCAAGTTATAAAAGTAGCCTGAATTTCAAAGTAAGTATTTCATAGTAAATATCTCATATTCTGAGCCAAATAGACAGACCTGAGGCTCAACCACATCAATTCCTAATCGCCTCTGCAGCCCTAAATACCACAGATAACCCACATAGGGGTCAAAGATATGCGGGAATGATGAAAGTATGAAGAAAGGGATATTTCAGTATGCGTCAGAAGCTCTCAACCACCTGGTTTTTCCATGTCTTTTTTTTAGCCAGACACCCATCAATCTATATCCATCCTGTTTTGATTGTACTGTTTTGACAGTATTTACTTTTAAAATGATGTCTTTTATAAGATATGTACAAATATAAATACACGTAACAGATGCCAATAAATGACAGACAAATTTAGAAAAAGAGGTGGAATTTGAAGTAATCTACAAAACAATAAGATAATGTTTTTATTCATTGCCTTTACATTTGAATGACCAAATCTCACAGCGCACCTGAGTGCACTCAAAGCCACACCAGGGGTCCAGCTCCGCTGTTCCACTGTTATCTGATTCTCTCAGATATTCGGTGTATGAAAGTAAGGATTTCAAAAAAGCCAAACTGTAATGAGTTCTCAGAGGTGTTGCAAATGTCTTTATATAATTGACAGAAGGGTAACACCAGTTAAAACCTGAGAAACAGTAATCATTATGAACAGGAGGTTTTGGAAGGTTTTTTTGGTCAGTGGCCAGTATAGATAATGAGCTCTTTGGCTTTGATGTCTGAGTGTTTGTGTGCCTGTGCCTGCTAGTTCATCCCTGTGGTGAAGTGTATTTTTACAACATATTCTCGTATGTGTTAATTACTCCTGATACTTCTGAGTGCACATTACATTCAATACTGTTGGTCTATATGCAGCTCATGTTCACTCCGTGTTGATCATGGTGAACATGGTGAGTCATAGTGTCGTTTTAAACACAAACAAACCCTGCTCTTGTTTTCATTGCCCTGAAAGGACACTTTTGTGTCCTCCTCCCCTTTTCTCTAAATCTGGGGGTACAATTGTTTGACTCATCTCTCCCTCTTTTTCTAAACTGGCACATAGGGAGGCTGCTTATTTCCCAAGTTGGTGAATGAATGTGTACATGAACCCCCCCCTTCATTTACATTTATATATTTTTTCCTATATTTTGCTATTTCATCGTTCCTTTATGTCTTGTCTGCAAAAGTTTTTGCTCTCTCAGTGTTTTTGTTCTCTCACTACTGCTATGCAGGCAGTGATAATGCACCGAATAAAGTTGCTGGCAACTGAAAGGGGACAGATACATTTGAGGTGAATTGGTATTCAGAAGGAATCCCCTCTCACACAGCAGATTAACACCTTCCCTGCACTGTCTCCCTCTTAAAAACAATTTGGGAACATTTCATTAAAAAAAGCAGTCCGAAGCATCAGTAGCATATGAAACAGTTGATAAGAAAGATATAGTTACGGACCTTTTTATGTGTGAGGCTGCTGTTCCTCGCTCGCATTCACGTCGTGCAGAAATCCATCCCGTTGTGTTTGGTCTTTCAGCCGTGCAAACCAGATCTATTGCCCCCCTATGATCTCCCCTATCAGCCTCTCTCTCACTCTCTCTCTCTCACACACGCACGCACACGCACACGCACACACACACACACACACACACACACACACACAACACAGGCACTACAGCTGGAGTAGATATTGTCTATGAATGGGCTCAGATTCGAAAGAGAACGCACGCATACGCAAGGTAACAGAGGCTTTAAATAATGAATGATACTTTTATTTTTTTTTTACTTGAAGGTGAAGTGGTGAAGAGCAACACAGAGGGGGAGTAGTGCTCACTCACTCTAACCCCACCCCCTCTCTCAGCTGCCACTCCCTCTGTCTCTGCCCTCCCATCTTTCTCTCTGCTCATCAACTTTCAGTATCACATTAACAGTCAAATCTACACTTCTGGGTTTTTGTACTCATTTTCATTGAGCATTTATTCCTCACAGTTAAGCTGTTCTGGAATTAGTTCATGTGGGCAGAAAGCTAGATAAATAGGCCTGCAGTCTAAATTGACCAATAAATCAATATTTGTCATTAGACACACACTCCCACGCAACCTACACAGCCCTTACTCATATCTCTAGTGTTTGTGTGAGGGAAACGGCCTGGCTCTCTGCTCGTAGCAAGCTGCGTCAGTAGACAGTATCCAGAGCAATAACCGGCTGCCATTGTACTGGCAGATTGAACTGCTCAGATGAGACCCCAGACTGGCATGATGAAAGAGAAAGGGCGGACATGAAGATAGAAACAGCCTTTAACACCTCCTTCTCGCCTTGCCTCTCTTCATCTTGAAGCGTGTATTTTCACTTCCCTTTCTCTCCCTCTTGTCGTCCCTCCAAACACTGGCTGTTAGCAGCTAATCACATCTGTTCTATAAAAAGTGCACAAATCTTTTTATACTAATTGAAAATGAACATAATGCTGAAACATTACATTACATATGAAACAAGATCATTCCCCCAAAATGCTTTCCAGATTTTTTTGATGTTCATTAATCAACAAAATAGAGATACTATTCTTAAAAGCTAAACTGTTTTGTGAGCAGTTTTTAATATTATAAAACATATTGTCTCAATCACCTCTAGAGGCATCTAGCAATGCTAGATGCTGGGATTTATTTGAACAGGTTTTGACATTTGCATTTGGCAGAAATGGAGGAGGTGGGATATGTTTGTGGTGCTGATAACTCTTTATAATTGAACACGACTAGGAGCTTTGTGAGGCTATAATGCACAGTGTTGATTTGAGCTTAATGCTAACATCCGTGTCCGCATGCTAACATGCTCACAATGATGATCCCAGAATGTTGATGTATATTAGGCATAATGTTTACGATGTTCACCATCTTAGTTTAGCTTAGTTTAACATCAATGAACTTAAGGAGTAGGCTATTTGGTCATTTACCAAAATGCTGGACAAATTGAAAATTTGACCTGATGATGGTGTGAGATAAAAGGTATCACCAAGTCATTGAATTAATGCTCTTGGGACCATGAATTTCTGTACAAACTTTTATTGCAATACATCCCATAACTGTCAACATGTCTCATTCTGGACCAAAATAGTAGACCAACATTGGCAACCCTTGAGGCATGTGGCTAGCATGGCTAAAAATTAAGATCTCTTTACCGAAACAGCTCATGTTACTTTGAAGAATACAAGATCAGAAAACTACAGACAGTGGTTCTAATTCTCTTATAACAAATTACATCATTTTGAGAAAATATGTTTTTGTAATTTTGGTGAATCATCCATTTAAAGTGCTTTACTTTAATTGTAAAATGATTGTAAGAGTACGTAGTGTCGCTGTGGCAGCCCGGCTGTTGGTGAGTGTCCTGTTTCTCCTTTCCCTCACATTCTGGTTTCTCCTGTGCCCTCTCTCTCTCTCTGTGTGTGCTCTCTCCCTCTCTGCTCCGGAGCCCGGCTGGCTACCCACACCTGCACCTCGTCAACCTCCATCCCCAGCCGCGGCACCTGCCAGCCATCAGCCTCATCACGACCAGTATTTCTACCCCGGCTTTCCGCTCCTCCAACTACTCGGTTCCCCGCGTCCTCGTCTGCCTCTCCCCCTCTTTCCACCCGTCCCCTCCTCAACCCCTTTTTTCCTCAATAAACCTCTTTTTTCAAACCCTCAGCGTTGCGTTTGGGTCCGTTCTGTCTCCCACCGTTACAGAACGATCGAGCCACTATGGACCCAGCACGCTCCCCCTCTCCTCCCCCCTCCACCGACACCCCACTCCGCTGGAAGTCATCCGCGCCGTCGCTTCCCAGGGGGCGGTCCTCGATCAGCATGCGGCCCGGCTCCAGTCGGTGTCCGACGCGCTCTGCTCCCTGGGCGAGGAGGTGCGGCGTCTCAGCGGGCGGCTCCCCAACCCCTGCTCCACACGTCCTCTGTCCCCCTCTCAGTCTCCTCCTCGTTCTCTCTCCGCCGACTTTGTCCCAAGCGCCCCAGTAGGCGCGTACTCTCCCCGTGAGTCACCGGTGTCCCAGCCTGATAAGTTCTCTGGCGTTCTGGGCGCGTGTGACGGCTTTTTGGTTCAGTGCGCCCTGGTGTTTAAGAGGCAACCAGTGTCTTTCCAGTCCGACGAGGCTAAGATCTGTTACGTCGCTGGGTTACTCCGCGACCGGGCCCTGGCCTGGTACGCAGCCGTCAGTGAGGGTCAGCCCCACGTTCTCTCCTCCTACTCCTGTTGAGGAGATGCGGAAAGTCATCAATCGCCCGGTGCGAGGGAGAGAGACGTCGGGTCGCCTCCTCTCCCTCCGCCAGGGTGATCAGAGCGTGGCGGAGTACTCGGTGGATTTTCGTATTCTGGCGGCCAACTCGGGCTGGAACTGTGAGGCTCTCCGGTGCGTGTTCCTGGACGGCCTCAATAACCGGATTAAAGACCTGCTGGCCGTTAGGGACGCCCCGGAGGGTCTCGACGCTTTGGTCGAGGTAGCCACTGATCTCGACAACCGCCTGCAGGAGAGAGAGGGAACGTGTCGCCCGCGCTTCCTCCTCCTCCCGTTCCAGCCTCACACCGTCACGGGCCTCTGCCCTGCCGTCCCCCGCGCTCCGATCGGCCGTCCCGCCTGTGCTCCCTGCTCCCCCCGCACTCTCTGCCCTACCGTCTCCCGAGCCCATGCAGCTAGGCCGTACTCACCTCTCCCCGGAGGAACGCGAACGTCGCCGTCTCGCCGGGGAGTGTTTCTACTGTGGTGAACCTGGTCACTTCTTGTCCACCTGCCCTGTACGCCCAAAAGCACCTGCTCGCCAGTAGGGTTGGGACTACTGGCGAGCAGGGTCCCTTCTCCCAACCCCCGCGTCCTAATCGATGCCTCCATTACCTGGGGGAACGTCACCCTCCCTCTCGGGGCCCTGATTGACTCCGGTGCGGACGAAACTTTCTGGATTGCCAAATAGCTCGCCGGCTTAAGATTCCCCAGGTCCCCTTAGATACCCCCCTTCACGCCACAGGTCTTAACGGCCAGCCTCTCGCCACCGTCACCCACCGCACTCCCCGGTTATCACTTATCACCTCCGGCAATCACCACGAGTCCCTCGCCCTCCACCTGATCTCTTCCCCTGCCGCCCCTTTGGTTCTCGGTCTCCCCTGGCTAACCTCTCATAATCCCAATATCGACTGGTTGCGGGGGAAGATCAGGAACTGGAGTACTTCTTGTCATTCCTCGTGCCTCCTGTCTGCCCGAGCCCCCGGTAATTCGGTCCCACCTGTCTCTCCTCCTGTCCGGTGTCCCCGATGTCTACCATGATCTGGCTCCAGTTTTCAGTAAAGACCAAGCCCTGTCGCTACCCCCCCACCACCCCTACGACTGCTCCATAGACCTCCCGGACGCTCCCCTCCCTTCCAGTCATCTGTACAATCTGTCGCGTCCGGAGAGGGAGTCTATGCAGCAGTACATTAAGGACTCCTTAGCCGCTGGCATCATTCGCCCTTCGTCCTCCCCCTTAGGAGCGGGCTTCTTTTTTGTAGCCAAGAAAGATAAGACCCTCCGCCCTTGTATCGATTACCGGGGGCTCAATGCCATTACCATTAAGAACAAATATCCCCTCCCGCTCATGGGTTCGGCCTTTGAATCCCTCTCCCGGTCCACCATTTTTACTAAACTGGATTTACGTAATGCCTATCATCTGGTGCAGATCCGGGAGGGGGATGAATGGAAAATCGCGTTTAACCCCCCCCCCCCCCTCGGGCACTATGAGTACCTGGTCATGCCCTTTGGCCTTACCAACGCCCCCGCAGTTTTCCAAGCCCTAGTTAACGACGTTCTCCGTGACTTTCTCCACCGCTTTGTTTTCGTTTATCTTGATGAAATCATGATCTTCTCCCGCGACTCTGCCCAACACACAGAACATGTTCATCTGGTCCTGCAGCAGCTTCTGGAGAACAGGCTTTTTGTTAAAGCAGAGAAATGTGAGTTTCACACGCCCTCTGTCCAGTTCCTCGGTTTCGTTATTGAAAGGGGGCGGCTCTGCGCCGACCCCTCTAAGATCCAGGCAGTCGCGGACTGGCCCACTCACACCTCAGTAAAGCAACTGCAACACTTCCTCGGTTTTGCAAACTTTTACCGCCGCTTTATCCGCAATTTCAGCACCGTCGCCGCCCCCCTCACCCGCCTCGCTTCCACCTCGGTCCCTTTCGTCTGATCTCCAGAGGCCGCTGCAGCCTTCTCCCACCTCAAGTCCCTGTTCACCTCCGCCCCCGTCCTCACCAACCCTGACCCCTCCCTTCAGTTCGTGGTCGAGGTGGACGCCTCGGACGTGGGCGTTGGCGCCTGCCTCTCCCAGCGCTCTCCCAGCGCTCTCCCAAAGATAACAAGCTTCACCCTTGCGCCTTCTTCTCCCGCCGTCTTTCCTCCACCGAACGAAATTACACCATGGGGGACCGAGAACTGCTGGCTATTAAGCTGGCCCTGGAGGAGTGGAGGCACTGGCTAGAGTGGGGCTGAACACCCTTTCCTAGTCCTGACAGATCACAAGAATCTTTCCTATATCCAGACCCCCCGGACACCATTCTGCCCCGCTCCTGCCTCGTCGCCTCTGTAGTCTGGGAGGTAGAATCCGCTGTTCGCCACGCCCAGTCCACTGAACCCGGCCCCGGCCTCGAGCCTCCTAACCGCCTCTACGTCCCGTCGAGTGTCCGCTCCCAGGTTCTCCAGTGGGCTTACGCCTCCAGATTCAGTTGCCACCCCAGGATGGCCAGCACCCTCTTCCT